AAAAAAACGCAGAACTGGAGAGCGAAGAAGAATGAACGATAAGCATCTAATCCTTTTCGACAATACTGCGATTTCTCAATCCTTCAATACGGCAGCTCTTCACTGTCGCGAGGTAAAAATGCAGCCTTGTCGGCAGAAGAGTCTCACTCAAGCCTCAGCACAAGTGCACAAGTTGCTAAACGTATCTCAACAAACAAGTGATGAAGTTAATAACATTTTCGAAGTTTTAAAAATTTGGTGTTCAAGTCTTGCATTCAACGTCGTTGAAAACCGTAAATACAGTAAACCTAGCATAAACAACACGAGTAAAAAGCTTGAAACAAACCTCTTGGGCGCGGAAATTTTTACGCTCAGAGAATTGCACTTCATTCCATACTACTTCGTTTCCTAAAAAAACTGTGATACACAAAATGAACCACAGAGAACGTGACTGTGCTTGTGTTCGGCTTTCAGTTTAGTAATCTCCCCAACTCTCTAGAGTGTGAGCCACATTTATCAGCGAGGTCGCAAGAATCTACTGGTAAGATCGCGTGAAGAAATCTGGTCGCGCAAGTTTCTGTCTTTCTTGCGTCTTCTTCTTCTCGTCTCTACCCACCCGATTGATTTCCAGACATTATTCACTCAATAATATTATGCGACTAGGTGCAATTCGGCTTAGGAGGGGTATTTTTCAGTCCACTGATCTCTGAGGAAATACAATTCACATCTTGGTGAGTCCTGCCGACTCTTGTCGAGTGCGAATGGAGCTCATGGTGTTTGTAACATTACAGGAGTTTACAGATCTCCCCAAGAGGAAACGGCAGTACTCGATGAGACCAGCAAAATGCCCCTCCAGGCCGATCTGCGGCTCAGAACGTTCATAGTTCAGTACATAGTTCACTACAAGCAGCGTCAAGCCATTTTGAGATAAAAGGTGAAAAACGGCTTATAGAAAAGGTGGCTTATAGGACATTGGAAGGTTTTACCCACACATAGCATCCCTGTGATGATACTTTTCCGAACTACGTCCATTACAAGACTCACCCGTCTCATTGTCCATCGCCAGATATGCGACATCAATACCAGGGACATCTCGCTGCTTCACTTGCTCACGACGTTTCGACCATCGTTTGCAAGGAGACTCTTCCAAAATCTATAGAAAATACAACTACTCAATGATCTCTAACAAATACTGACTGTGAAAAACTACGAACATCTTCAGCTGCATCGCCGTCTGATTCGGAATCTTTCGCATCATCCTGCGCGGATGAGTGCGCGGCGTGCTCCTCCCCTCCGCCCGCCATTCTGCCTTTAAAAACTTTTTACATCATAATAAATCAAAGTGAAAACTTATAGATAAGTGCATTTAGTACTCGCATAGAAAGAGCAGCGAGAAATGCCGGCGTGGAACTTCCACACACTTCGGCAACTTTTCCACGTACTTTGGCTAAACTTGTTGAACCCGCCAATTGTCTCGCACTGACAACTGTCATGCTACACATGCACGAATAATGCACAAAAGGCGAAAAAACGTAGCACGAAAACTCACCAAATGTTCTCAAACTCTGCGAGTGCGGACAAGGTGAACTGCTTCTCAACCGTATCGCTAAATTCATAAAATTGGGACCATAAATGGATTTAATCTTGGACTCACAACGGCTCAAAGTGGGCGTGGACTGTGGTTTGTTCAAAGAAGAACCGTTCATACCTTGCGAATCGCTAATATGGGTGATTCAGCAATGTGTTAGCTGTTAATAAGGGAACAACAAAACGAAAAGAAAACTTTCTCCAGAGTAATCCCCTCTCGCAACCGAAATACGGCACCATTCAACTGTTACTATCCCAAACTTTCAAATCCTTGCCATTTTATTACCGACTTTTCTCTACAAAGCTTTTTCTCTTTGATCAGAACTTGTTTCCCAGGGGTGGTTCTACCTCCAAACACGAATATCACATCCGCTTGGCCTGAACATCTTGGCGCCCGCGCCCTATTGCCCCGAATAACGAAACCAGCTGAAAGCTTGTTCCCATGGGGAGTTTGACCTCCTGAACACAAATAGCACTTCCACTCGGCCCTAAATCGCTACTGCCCACCTCACTGATGAGCCCTGTGGTTGACGAAATAACGACGGTTCGCCTGAGGAAAGGGCGAAACGAACCATTTGAGTCTTGAAGTATTCTTTAACGCCTTAGGATATCTGTCAACAGCAAAATACAGTCCGTTTATTTCTATTTTCCCTTTTGCTTCTTTCTTTCTCTCATTCCTTTTTCTTATTCTCCTCCCCAAATTCTCGTCTACAATATGTAACGAGAGAAGTCTCTGGACCCTCCCAGCAAGAGATAACCGGCTGACCGCCCTGTAACTGTCATCTGATCATTTGTCTTTCTTATTTTTTTCATTTCAGATCTCACTTGCGATTGGATTCCCTACCAAGCGCCCTCTCAACAGAGCTTGACGCTGGTTTTGACGCCATTTTTCCGAGGCATAATTTTTTACCACGGTAGGGATGGAACTCGTGCTTCTCAGAATGCAGAAGTGAGTCCGCACTTCTCATAACTTAGGTCTCCCTGCTCTTTATCACCCCCCCCCCTCTCCCGCCTTCTTTCACATGCCTCACCAAGCGCACGGCGACTTGCAATCAAGTGCCTGATCCGTGCGCATCCAAGTAAAAATCGCCGATTTCACGCGAAATGGTAACCTTAAAATGCGAAACTTACTGCTACAAAGTAATGGACAATCAATAAGTATCCAGTCAGGGTCAAGCGTGCTAAAAGCCAAACAGAACAGGAGGCCATAACTATTAGCGCTACGCACCTAGACAAAATTCGGCGCCATGCCACAAAATAATAGTCGGCTACTTACAACTAAAGATTGCTCACTTTGCATCGCCTCTGTTATATCGGCCATTTATGGGCACAAATAATTGCGAAATCCCAATGACAAAAAAATGGGGAAAACTGCAGCGTTTCCACGGCGTACGGTAAACGCATTGAAAACAGGACACATCCTGCTGTTGGGGTGGGGGGAGGCTTTTAGCAAAATGCGACCCCACTTCCTCAACAGTTTCGCCGTCTGGCACGACCCCCCCCCCTTTCAATCGTCATCCTCCTGCTTATTTACCATGTTTTAAATCTTCAGTCTTCTTAGTGGGAGGAGGTATAGAACACACTCAAAACATGAAAACCCAGAAATTTTAAGAAACAAAAACGTTTTTTTTTCTTCAATGCAAACACAACCCCTTTCGCTGTTTATCCCTAACGTACTTTGAGGCTACCCCAAGTTGAATTTCCAAAAGAAAAAGATTTTTCCAATATATTGCAATTCGTTCACGAAAAACATGGCTCCATGGCGGACTAAAAAGTACACTTTACAGGAACATGACTAATACGTTTGCAGTTGCGGGATAAGTCCTCTCGCAAAAGCCAAGGAACTGCATGCAGCTGCAGAGCTTCAAAAAAGACCTGTTTTTATTGAGAAAACAGCCTTCATAAAACCTTTGCGCACTTCAGAACCGTCCACTTGTTTTTATGAACAGCCCGAAACCTCTAGAAGCCGTTGTGAGTCCAATTTGAACGAGAATTCGCGAATATAACGAACAGTACGGCAGTTAGGGGTCTTTCAATGAATAATTCAGAAAGACACCTCAAAAGAAGAGAAAAAGTAGGCAGAACATCGAAGGCAACGCGTTCAGAATGGCAAGGGCTCTTCAACGACCCTGGTAGAGGCAGTAGTGACGAATGTAAAAATTATAAATGATTAACAATACGATATCAAAAAGAACTAGAAATCCTAGTAGAAAGCATCAATCAATAGCGGTGCGGTGCGTGATGAAAATTCAATAATTGTCACGGGCTGACTAATCGCTTTACTTTTTTCCGTGGCGCATACCACGCACATTCAATATTCCAAACTAATCAATTCATCGTACATACACACTTCTAAACATCATATTCATTATCTGTGCTCAAGACTCACATCATTTGTAGAAATACCATCTTCCAAAAAGAATAAAACTCCACAGATTTCTTTAAAAATTCGTAGAGCGAAACAACACGAGAGGCGTATCAGCGCGACCGTGAAATGCGCCAGTCTAGCCCACTAGCCCATCAGCAGTGCGGCCCAGTTACTGTAGTCGGTTCTACGTCAGACACGTGGTGATGACCACACACGCCGTGAGCTCGTGACTCCATCTGTCTGGCTTGGGAGGTGTAATCACAGCTTATAACAGATGACAATAGTAGATTTATGTCGTCCAAATCTCATGTATAAATTCCTAAGAGGCATTAAAACCTAAGTAAAACGAGATTTTATACAATCTATACACTTTGGTCAGCTTTCAATAAACATATGTCGCATAGATTCACACTGTTTGTTAATGCACCAATTACAGCGATCTTGTAGTTGAGCGTCCCTTCGGCCCAGAAGGTGATTTTTGATCACTTCCACCACACCCTGTATCAACAGTGGGTTGTCGACTTGTGGTTGTACCAACGTCACTTTCTCCTGAAAACAAGATATTGTTTTCAATAACAGCAACGTTGGTGGAGTCCCACGGAGTACCTAGCACTATCTGGGAAAACGCCTGGTACGTTTGTCAGCACCACGTGATAGGTGTGACAGGTACTTCAATTTAGAATAGTATCGGGCAACAACAGTTCTGGCACGGTTATAGTTTAAGAGGCCAGTGTTAATAGCTAATTAACTCCACATGTCATTTTGGCTTAAATCAGTCAGGTCATGACTACCTACGTCCTATGCTAGTTTTCTCACGACCTTATCCAAAATATTTGAGAACTAATAAATCGCTTCGTTCACTTCGAGTTTCTGAGGAGCGCCGATCATTATTGAACAGTTTTGACTTCCTCAAAGCTTAAAATAGGAAAAACCAGTTTATAAGTAGTCACCAGTCGGATCGCCCAGCTGTCGCCGGGCGCTCCTCCTTCTGTGACATGGCCCGGCTTCGCCGGGCCATGCGGATTTGCCGCGTGCTAAGTTAAGGATCGTTGACCAATCACACTGTTCAGAGGAATCTTCTGCATCAGCCAAGAACTGAAAAGCAGCGCTTACCACTACACTTACCTTTACGCTTACCACTATGCGCACTACCGCATTCAGCAGTGGAACCCTTTAAATGGCCCTCACTGAGGTTGCTGATGGAAGATAATTGTGGTAAGAGTGATTAAAGTCAGTTGCTGCTGTTCATAACTTCGCT